TAAGTACAAAAATACTTAACGGAACGCAGTCCATATTTAGATTTACAAAAATATAAGAAATGCAGTCTGTATTTACTATCTTAATCGGGCCCCACTAGTTGCCATTTTGAAAAATCTGCATTAGAATATCTATTCCATTCATCCATTCACTTCTAAATTGAATGACCCATGCATTATACAAATAATTCAAGCAACAATTTAAAACGAGTGCAAAACTAGTTACTAACTTAGGTGGTTAATCCAATTAACGCGCCTAATTAAAACTAGTCAAAATAATTATCCGATTATGTGAATTAACACAATAATAATAGCTCAAAAAGATTAATGAAACTTCCACTAAATTCAACATCCAACTTAATTAAAATTAATCCAATTAAAAGTAATTAAGCCGGTTAACCCAAAATTTTTCCAAATAATTTCGCAAGTGCCGGGAAAAACTAAGGCCTAGTCACGTTTTAATTAAAACAAAATCGCAAAACCGTAAAATTAATAATCCCTCAATGGCCGATTGCCTAGCATCAAAGCCATCAGGCTAGGCTTGCTAGGCACCAAACCTAGCCATTATGCGCAGGTGCTGGCCGCATAGCCACAGCAGTGCGCAAGCGCCTGCGAGCACTAGTACCGTCGCAGCATGCCCAATATGCTCGCGTGCCGCTGGTGCTAGCAGCATGCTGACGCGTATGCATGTGCAGGCCGCATGCGCAGCTAAGCAGCCTTGCCTTGCGATTGGGCGATGCCTGGCCGTCGCGCCCCCACACAACATGCATCACGCGCACACACTCCCTCGTACACACTCGCACATTCTTTCACATGCCTTGGCTCGACAGATATATGTGCACTGCCGCAAGCAGCACTGCTAGCCAAGCCTAGTTACTCGAAGCATCGGCTTCTATTTTGCGCTTGTTGTGCTTTAGGATTTTATTCCGAATTTTTTGTGTGACATAAAAATTATTTCTTAATTGAATTTAGAGCTAATATTGAGCAATATTGATAATAAAATAAGTTCAATTTAATTAAATCAATTTTAGTGCACAAACAAAAATTAATTCAAGAACCATTCTTTAAATTATTTTTGGCTCAACTTGATGCTACAGAAATTGAGGGTGATTCTCACAATTAATTTAACCAACATGAATTATTAATGAGATTTGACAAAATAGTTGAATAAATAATCACTCATCCCATGAAATATTTTATCCAACACTTACGCACATTTTAATATTGTAATCTTCCAATATGAAGAACAATAATATTTCAAGCACAAGTATGAACATTTAAGATTTTAATTAACTTCCAAAATGATTAAAACCAAAAATTAGTTCATTATGGATTTTAGCAAGTTATGATTCAACCAGTTAAACCATTAAAGATTAAATCTTTAACATTTTCGAGGCTTCAAAAATCAAATTCACCATAAGCTTTCACACTACAAGCAATTTATTTGCAAGAATGTGAAATTTCATGTTTATGTGAAATTAAGAGCTCACCAAATTCAGCACCAATATTGCTTCATAAACATGCTTAATAAGGATTAAAATTGCAAAATATTAATGGTATAATCAAACACATAATCCAACAATTGCATGCCATAATTAATCAAGGTTTATAGATATAAAAATTTTCAAAAAAGAAAAACCACTTTATGGGTGGATTTTGGCTTCTGGAATGTCATTTTTAGCACTTTGTCAGTAAAGAATGATTTAGATTGTTGATTCCACCAAATAAAATTTACTATTTTTGAGTCGAAATCAGGGTTCAAAGGCTAAAAATAGCATAAATACGATTTTAATCTCATTAAAAACAAGCTCCTAATCTAATTAGGATGCTAAACCAGAAATTTTAAACCATTTAAATCACCTTAGTTAAATTTTTGGTTGTAAAAATTAAATGCAAGAGACTCTTATACTGCTGAGGGTTTTGCGGTTTCCGACACCACGTGAAAACAAAACCCAAAAATCGGATCGCATGCATAATAATTACAACATAAACAAAAGCATGCAAATAAGAAAAATACAACCACATAAAAGAGAAGAGAGAGAAACAAACTCACCCTAGACGCGTGCTTCGCTCACTCAATGAGCTCGAACTTGTAAGCTTCAAGCTACGCAAGTGCGAAATCTCCGACAGCTCACACCCTCGCGCACTGAATCGGAACCGGCCCCTATCCCTTAGCTTAGACGGGGCCAGACCAAAAATGACATAGTGTTTATGAACTAAAGTTTTCTCGCTTTTGGAGATCCCATATAGTTCACCAACTTAAGTGAAATTTCCAATACCCAATGATTGATATTTATAGGGAATTGTTCACAAGATTTTCCATCATCTTTCATTGTGGGATAGTTGGTAAAATGAGAAACCAAGCAATTATTTTAATTCCAAATTAAGTTAAATAAGCTATGTAATAGTCAAATGACTAGTGTAATCATGAGGGAGGGAGTAGGTAAGGACCACAAACCCATCCTTGGAAAGCTAGCATAAACCCACCAACCCCACGTGCATGGAACACCCAAGCCTTGGGCCTTAAGGAAGGCTCCGCTGGCATCCTTGGCCCTCGGCTGGGCCTACCTTGCAAGCCTAGCTAGTTGTTGGGCGCTTGCGCTATTGCGGCCTGGCCTCGTTGGCTGGCAACGCAAGCAAGCGTGCAGGGCCAGCAACCTTGTAGCACGCAATGGCGTGCTGGCTTGGAACACTTGCTTTGTGCATGTGGGCTGGCAATGCTAGCTAGCCTGCTCGACCTACTAGCCCAGTCAGCACACAAGCGTGGCTGCTGGGCTTGCGGTCAAGGCTAGCGCATGGCTAGCATTCTTCCTAGCCTTCCACGCCTAGCCCTCGCTTGGATAGGCTAATGCGAGGCAAGGTCTTTGCGCGTTGACTTGTCGTTGAATTGACTCGACGTTCGATGCTTGGCTTCGACGCTCTAAGCTCGGAATCCGACGTCTTAGTTCGTAAAATCACTATCAAGTTATTTAATCTTCCGGATTAATTTTTCGCCTTGGTTCGGTTACACGATTGGTTGTGACCCGAAGGTTTTAGTCAAGATCAAGTTGTAATATTAATTATACATTAATATGAATTATCAATAGCGGTCTCCAGCTAGGCATTCCAATCACTTGACCTCATTAAATTATTAGTTTTCCTAATTAATTCCGAACCCTCTATCGGAATAATAAACTTGTTCTAAGGACACCATTCCTTTCACCCTGAGTCCAGTAGTGTTGTTCTTAATATTATGTAGAACCTTTCCTAGAAGGTGGCTGCATTTTGTTAAGAACTTTAGGTGTTTAGCTGCCTTTTTGAGGCTTATGTAGTTGAGGGATACAATTTAGCATGTTGTAAGTTGTATTGTTTTCTTGCTTTGTCTTGGTAATAAAATTTCAATTTACTAATAAAATAAAAAAAAATCAACTTTATTGAATGTAATAGACTTTAATTTTATTCAATCAGCTTTATTGATTGCATTTAACTTTATTTTTATTCAAAAAGCTTTGCTTGTATGTGTTTGACTTTGATTTGATTTTTTTTTTTTGTTGGTAAATAAGCGATTTTATTACCAAAGGAGAAAACAGTTACAACTTAAAAAAAAAAAAAAAAATCTAAGCTGTAACCCCCAAACTACACAAACCCTAAGGCAACCACACACCCCAAAATGCAACAACAAACAACAAAATAAAACAAAAGGTAAAAACTTTTAACACACAGAAACAAAGGAACATCAAGAGAGCAGGATTAGAAACACTCCAGCAAACAGCAACCCGCAGCAAACAGTCCAGCTTTACAACCACGCAACCAACAAAACAACAAAGCAACTAGCATCAATAACAGCAAGAAAACCCACAAGCTGCTGCATAGAAACATCGCAACACCGTAACAGCAGCACAACAGACCAAGACCACATAATCGCAGCAGAACAACACTGCAATAGAAACACATCACACAACAAGCACATGCTTCAACCGAAACAGCAGCAAAACAACAGAACAACACAACTGCACAGCATCCCAGCAGCAAGCAACGCTGTAGCAGAAGGCAGCAGCTCCCAGCATACCAGACCAGCAAGAGGTAGCAGACTAGACCTATTGAACACAACAACACCAGCAACAGCTAAACCAAAGAACAACAATACACTAGCCAATAAGCAAACCAGCAACACCCACAGCACAACAGGTACAACAATAACGCAACAAAGCAACACAACTTCACAGCACTATAGCAGCACAACAACACTCTAAAGCAGCGTTTTGTTTCAACTTGTACAGCCAACCTGCAGTGGTTTCTACTCCATTTACTGCTGACAAATTACTGACAGCGCTCACTCACAGCTTCACAAATCAGAGAACAAAGCTTCCTGGGCAGAATCACAACTTGATTTCAGAACGCATTGTTCCTAACAAACCACACAAAATACAAAGCAGCTGTCAGACATACCAGAACAAGCTTCCTCTTGATAGGATCTTTCACTTGCCTTTTCCAGTGCTTTCAAGACAAATCTATATCAAAATGTCTTTCTTTCACACCCATCCACTTACTGACTGCCTCCAAACAGCTTCTACTGAACTTACCATAAAAAAACAGATGCTTCCTATCCTCCTCGTGCTCACCACAAAGCAAACACAGCTCACTGTCACAAGCACCAAATTTAACAAGCTTACCTCTAGTTCTCAACCTGCCCTTGACAGCAAGCCAAGCCATGAAAGAATGTTTTGGTATATTATAACGATTCCAAACCCATTTCGTTCATCTCACCTTCTCCATTCCACATTGCAGGGCCAAGTAAGCACCTGAGATACCATAAGGTTTATTGTCCCGACTCCCTGTCAAAAATACATCCTTCAACTCATCCTTGATCTTACAAATCCTTTTCCAAGCCCAACCATCAGCTTTTTTCGGGACATAAGACCACCAGTCAGCCTCCCTCAAGTAAATACTATGCATCCACTTAACGCAAAGGGAGTCCTTCTTAGTAGCAACTTGCCACATATACTTTCCTAAGGCTGCTGAATTCAAGAGAGCACAATCTCTAACACCCAGGCCTCCCACAGACTTAGGGGTACACACCTAACTCCAAGCAAGAGGGGGCTCTTAGAAAGGGTAGTAGACTCTCCCCAAAGAAAAGCACGAGAAAGCTGATTGATTCTATGTATAACAGTCTTTGGAAGAAGCATGCATTGAGCCCAATATGAATGAAAGCTAATAAGAGTGTAATTCAAAAGCATAACTCTAACAGCATAAGACAGGTTTCTACTTGACCAACAAGTAATTTTAGCTATCATTTTATCAATAAGTGCATCAAAATCACTAACTTTCAAATACCGAGCATTTAAAGAATTTCCAAGGTACTTGAAAGGAGTCATACCTTCAACAAAGCCAGAAAGTTCCATAATTGCCTGCTTCTCATAATCAGGGACATTACCGAAGAAAATTGCAGTTTTATTAGCATTTGCAACCAACCTAGGAACCAGCTTAAACGACTTAACGACCCTTACCAAGTACAAAATAGACCTCTTATCCCCATGAGCAAAGATCATAACATCATCGGAAAAAATTAGATGATTTAACCTCAACCCCTTACATCTATATTGAAACATAAACTTTTACATCTTCCCAACTTTCCTGAGCAGCCTAGTGAAATACTCCATCACCACCACAAATAAGAGAGGTGACATTGTATCACCTTGCCTCAACCCCCTCTTACCCTTAAAAAAACCATGCAAACCCCCATTAATCATAAGGGAAAAAGAAGGGGTAGACAAACATTCCATAACCCACTGAATGAAATTAACGAGAAATCTTAAACTACAAAGCATGTCTCGAATAAACACCCAGTGAACGGAGTCATAAGCTTTTTTTTCAAATCTACCTTAATCGTACATCTCGGAGACCTTCTCTTGTTGTTATAGTCCTTGAGCATATCTTGGCACACAAGAATATTGTCCATAATACTCATACAAGCCACAAAAGCATCCCGAGGCTCATTGACCAAGAAAGGTAACACTACTTTCAACGTGGAACACAACAACTTCGAGATGATCTTATACACCACATTGCAGCATGCAATTGGTTTGAATTGAGTAACATTAGAAGCACCCTCAACTTTGGGAATCAAAGTAAGCGTAGTAGCATTAATCTGCTTCAACTGCCTCCCACTAAAAAAAAGTCAAGAACTGTGACAGGCGGTATTTTAGGTCGTTACTATGACACCTCTATCAAATGATATTTGTAGTCCTAAACATGCAACTAAGAGAGTATAGAGGCAAGTTAAGGGTCGAACACAGGGAAACGATTAAGCACCGCTATTTATCTCCTAATGTTAATCTAATTCGATCAAGAAGTATGGTGGGTAAAGTAATGACTAAAGGGGATAGAATTACAATTAAAACAAGCACTAGGGGGAAGGATGAAACATGATATGAATTCGACGAAGTTAGGCATCGGAAAATAGGTTTACATGTAACCCAAGCAACTCATACAAGGAAATATCAAGAATACTCTCTAATCACCTATCGGGATTAAGAGCTTTCCTAGCTAGTATACAGTTACACTATCGTCGTAAGGCATACAAGCTAAGGTCATGCAATAATCAATCACCTAATGAATATTCCTATTCGCACTATCGTCACGGTTTAGTTCAAGTCATTCAACCACAACATGCATATGGCCATAAACATGAAGTAGCTAATAAGTATAAGCACAAGGAAGATTTAATCACAAATATTCCAAATCAACCTAGCCTAGCATACATAAAACTCAAAGCATATCTTCACCAAACCCCTAGCAACAAGAAACTACTCACTAGTCATAACTACAACTACAATAATACTAAGCAACATTATAACCAATGAAATAGTAAAAAAGACAAAGTTTTTATCAACGAAACTAACAAAGGTAGAAACTTTAATCATAAAAACAAGAAAAAATAGAGAAATATACCAAAACCTTCATTGAAATCCAAGTAAAGAGCCATACATCATTCAATCTCCAAGCTTGACCATACATCAATGTTGCAAAAATACTTCTTCAAAAACTAAGAGTAAAACAAATGTTGATGGACAATGAAATTACACTAAAAACTATCAAGATTGTTCAATACAAAAGTGGCTAAAACAAAAACCTATAAAAATTCCTTAAAAGCTCTCCTCTAAGGTTTCTATGCTAAAAATATCCCTATGATAGTATGTTGTCCAAAGTTAGCCGTTTTTGCCTCCCTTTTGTTAATTTGGGCTGAAATCGGGATTTGAATCAACAGCAGACAGGCGCGCCCGCGCGTTAAATGATGGCGTGGCCGCTCCTCGAAATGCGCGCCCGCTCCAAAGTGGGTATTTAATGGTTGGTCCAGCTCATCTGCGCGCCCGCGTGTATAGGTGGCGCGCCCGCTCCTCTCGTGGCGCGCCCGCGCCATTTGTCTGGTCTGGATTTCTTCCCGTTTTGTCCTTGTTCCTTCCATCTCCGAATTAACGGCGTACACCTGCAATCATTGAACAGGAAGGAAAAGCGTAATACAACGAAAGGGGAGGGGAGTATAGACTACCTAAACTACATGAATACACATTACGCACCACAAAGGTAGAATACTCGAACTAGGTAGATCATAGCAAAAACATACTAAAATGGACCAAATTATTACTAAAACTACTAGAAAAGACTATCCTAAAAGCGACATAAATGTTACTCATCAAATTCCCCAATGCTAAACCTTTGCTCATCCTCGAGCAAAGCTAAGGGCAAAGAAGAATGAGAAACGATTATTCAAACACAAGAAAAATAGAAAAGGAGGGAAAGGAATTTACACTAACTCACTTTCGTAGGAATCACAGTTGTTTTTAGCGTAAACAACAAGCCATTTAAACCTCAAAGTTGCCAATGAGGACTAGTATGCTCTCGTGGGGGTTTCCAAAGAGTTTAACCCACAACTCTTGGCAACATGCTCAAAACAAACCGAAACAAAGGAGCAAATAAAGAAGAAAATCAACTACAAACACGAAACAAAACATGGAAATGAAGAGCATATTGAAAAGACAAGCATAGATGGATGACAATCTTTCTAAGAACTAAGAGTAAGCACGTTTTTGGATGCCAATGGTTAATTGAAAGATAAGTTATGCTAAGCATAGAGAACTCTAACATGCTCCACTCCACCCGCATTCCATACATTCTTACCGCGTTCCCTCATCTAGATTTAAATCCACCCTTCAAAGTAGAATCTCATGATGCCACGAAGGAGCCAGAACAAATGAAAGAAGGGTGACCCGATATTTTACCAAGTCGTGCTATCTCCATATGCTTGAAATCTAGCTCCCTCCACTGACTAGTGACTCAACTAATCCAAGTCAAAAGGACTTTAAAAGGGGTTGTAACGTAGGATAGGAGGTAAAGGTGAGGAAAAAAAATATGAAAATTTGGTGGTAAATCCTAATTGTGAAGCAAAGAATGGCGCCAATTCCCGAAGACAACGTAGAATATCACTAATTTCCAAACAAAAATACGTCTCCCCCAAGCTTATTCAACAAAATCTCACAAAACTATAAATAAAATGTGTAGAACCTCTCCCCCAAGCTTGAATTGAGCATTGTCCTCAATGCGCAAACTAGGGAGGACACTACATCAAAATCTGTTTGCAAATTTTCAAAATTTTACAAATTTTTTTTTTCTTTTTTTTTTTTTTTTTTTTTTTTTTTTACTTTGAACTATGGACGGCTTTTTCTGAAATTCACATTTGCTTTTAATAAACACCAAAAATATCGAAAACAACCTTGTCATATCAAACCATCACCTTCCAACTTATCAAACCAAAATCACAACAAACTTTCATGGCATACTTCACAATTCTATGGGTGAAAAAAAAATTGAAATAGAAGGGCCATAGGGTTTGTAATATGCTACGAACAAGGAGGTGTAGGCTCAACATGGCTAGCAAGGGGGATATGCAAATGAAATTACAAGGAAGCAACAAAAGAAAAGCTAAACCTAGAAAAGCAAAATAGTCACCGAAGAAAATGCCTTCGTCCTCCCTAGATTTAGTTCGGTCGCGATCTCGGGTAGCTAGACATCAAGTTCTCGATCTAAGCATGCCTTGGTAAGGATCCTATGACGCTCACACAATAAGTGTTGGAGGCTTGAACAATAAAACTCACATTTGGTTACAAAAACTATCTTAAGGGCTTCAAATCCCCCAATGAGGGCAACACCTTCTTACCACAAACAAGTGAATTTTGGTTCGGTGGGCCTTACGAGTTCTAGCACAACTACCTTAGCATAGACATATCTTAGAGTCAACCAATGGCAATCCAAGAACTCGGAAACTCTTAATCCTTAGGAATAAAGACATTCAAGAATGCAAGTCCATTAAGTTTTCTTTTTTTGTTTTTTTTTTGGAATCCAAGAAAGCGGAGATAGAAGAGGAAGTAAGCATAATCAAATATATCCCAATCAAGAAACAAGTGGCCGTTAGATATCAACATCAACGACCCCAAACACACTAGGTGTTAATAGCAAACATCCTCGAACCATTCAACTTCCATTAAACTACAACTATCCTAGAGCACACCAACGAAAAATAGAGTGGAGGAAAGAAAAAAAAGGAAAAGGAAACATCTCACCGAAATGACGCCCAAGTAAGCATATCCGAAGTGAAAGCATGCATCCTAAAATGGGTGAGTATCCAAATGAAGAGAAAACAAACTATATACACAAAAGGGTTAGTCTGAATGAGGGTTGAAAAATGAAAAATGAAATAAAGAAATAAAATGCAACTTTCATTTGGCCTTTTTTTTTCAAACTTTTATGTTTGCTTCACTATAAACTAATCTACCCTTGACAAAATTTCTAGATCTCCTCCAAAATCAACATTACTTCAAAAATCATCGAACCATATATACATACCTGCACTGGTCAATCGCCATGTCGGCGAATACCAGTAATCATCATCATCGACAGGAAAAACGGGTCTCCATCAAACCGAGAAAAGCGTCCCCAAAACAGCATCATCATCAAAACCACATCAAAAACTCATCAACAATATTAGTGAACAGGGGCAAAATCAGCCAAAGAAAACAGTCATGCAACTCAGCAGAATCAGCAGCATAAAGGTACAAGTAAAACAATGAAAGACCAGCAGGCGAGCAAGTAAGAATCCAAGCCAAGTCACTCCCTACCAAGAGTATATCTCCTACTCATCAAAATAAGCATCCAAAAGTAGGGGAGAGAGATATACTCAAGGGACGTAGCCTACTGGCCACTAGAGCTGGGCTCACTAGGTGAGCCAGGCCGACGTGGCGGCTCGTCATAAGCGAAGCCACAGGGGGGATGAAAAGCCCCTAACCACCGTCAAAGCCCGACGGCCAACCGTAGTGACCTCTGTAAAGATTCTCTTGCCAACTTGGAAAAGGATCAAAGGGAGCGTCCTCAGACTGGGAATACAGAGGAGCGAGGTGATCAGGATGCACATAGGGGTAAGCAACGTCCCCTCTAAAGTCACACCCGCCGGGCACATGATAATCGTAATGCCCGTCCTCTGGGAAGTTGCGGAGCTCCCTACTAGGGTCGGAAGGACCTTGCCAGTAGGGGTAAGTGGGGAGATTGTCCCCCCCCCCCCAAGAAGGAACATGGCCGTGCTGAGGCGGCCAATTGGGGTAGTTCACGGGGGGAGTAATCTCTCCTCTATCCACAGCTGAGTCATAGAGGGCCTGCTGCTGCAGATGGTGGCCTTGCTGTGACTCATAAATCGCTTGCAACTGTCTAGCTATATCAGATAGCTAAAATGTACCTGTACCTGCGATTTGCTGGGTAACCGGCTGCTGCTTCTACTGCTCCTGAACGTCCTCCTCATTACCTATCACTACCTCATCGTCCCCATCAACATCGGGCACTCGCCCGCTATCTCTCAAAACTCTCCACACATTAGAGGACTGACGCGTGAGGGAGGTGAAGTGAGGCTTAGGGAGGAAACAATGGTGGGCTCCACTAACTAGCCACCTAAAAGCATTGGGGTTTGCCGTGGGAGTAATAAAATCAGAGTGGCGAAGCTGGTCCAAGTCAAGGTAAATATCCCCACTACTACCTACGGCCGTGCATAGAGGTAGAAGGTCAGTGTAACCTAACTTGGTGGCCAATCTAGTGACCATCGCCCCGCAATGTATCTCCCCTGGATTTTTCCCCTTTGCTATGGCTTGGCAGGTTTGCATAAAGAGGAAACCCAAATTCAACCTCCGTGCATGCTCTCCCTTTGTGGCTATCCATAGGCAAAGGACCTCTTCCTTAGTCAGTTTTCCTAGGTCCTGTTTACATATGATAGAATACCTTAGTAAACGGTGTAGGATCCTAAGGACAGGGTGCCAAATCTCACTGGCTATGGAAGTCCTAATGTGAAACTCATTTTTACCTGAAATGGAACGCCACCAAGCGTACTCACTATACTCCCTAAAGTTCTCATAAAGAGGGTAGAGAAGGTCGGCATCGGAGTGAAAGTCCAGGGCTTGGTTGAACTGTGCCAGTGACATGGTGTTGGGGTTGTTGAAGAGTTGGAAAGATATCCGAAAGTCGTTTTCTTCTAGTGTTTCAACTTGAAAAGACAAGAAAAACTCTAAGGTGGGTTCTTAGTGGGTCATGAATGAAAAGTTTACGAATGACCCTAGTCGAAGGTTGTCAAAAAGAATCCACAAATCGTCATTTATTCCAAGTTTTATCATGTCTCCACGATGGTAGTGCCTAGAAGGTCGCAACTTTTGTTTCTTCATGTCATAGTATATGGAGGAGTGGCTTTTGTTTTAGAATTTTAAGGTGGGTAAGACATTGGGTTGGTCTGACTCTGGGTTTTGGGACGATTGTCCCGACTTTGCAGTTTTTCTCTTCTTCCCAATCCTTAGACTCATGACTGCCCACCTCTTTTTTTTTCTGTTTTCACTCCTTTTCAAAGCCAACTCCGGCTATTTCCACCCTTAACCTCCACAAAACTACAATGTACCTGTTTACAAATATTAATAATCCAACCAACACAACGAATATAGCCTAAGATAATAACCAACAACAACAATTTCAACGGAATCCAGCAGTAATTTCAACAATAATCAACGAATTTTCGCTAATAACCTAAGATAATCAAAATCCTTGCTTAAAAATTAATCAAAAGAGAATAATTAATGAAGGAAATTGAATACCTTTACCCTTATGCGAAATTTTTTTGTTTTGGTGTCGATTTGTTGAAGGTTTTGAATAGCAAGGAGTTCGTTACGGTTGGTGTTGAGGATGCCTGTTTGCTTTCTTTGATGTTGAACAAACGGTGATGATGAATGATTGAAGCTTTAGGATGATTGATTTATGAGGATGATTGATTTAAGAGGATGGAAGAAGATGATCTTGAGTATGGTGGCGAGGAGCGACCACAAAGAGAGAGAAAGGTAACGAGGGAGTTTGAGTTATGTTTGTGAGGGTTTAGGGGAGATTGCGGAAACAAAAGACGAAGCCGTATTTTTTTTCCTGAAACCCAGAAAGGCGCGCTCTCGCCAGATATAGGCGCGCCCGTGCCCGCTCAAACATAGGTGCACCCGCGACAAATACAGGCGCGCCCGCACCTCAGTGAAAACGCGGACTGCTCCTAAATCACGACAAAATCGCTCCAACTCTCTGGGAATCAGACCAAACTATTGACGCACCCGCGCCCTGATTAAGCGCGCCCGCACCTCTTTGATATCGCGGGCCGCTATCTATCCGTGACAAAATTGCTCCTTCTTTTTGGAATCGGAGACCATTTAGACCAAGCAGATGGCGCGCCCGCGCTCCTTTGATGACGCAAACCGTTCTTGTGGCGCGATAAAATCGCTCCTACATTCTGGAATGATGGCGATTTGTGACCCAAGAACTGGAGCGCCCGCGCCTTTCTCTACTCGCGCTCGCTCCTCTGCCGCGACCAAATCGTGCTGGCTCTCTGTCTTTTGTCTTCATTCGACCACAACTCCTCAAAAAAATTTCATTTTGCTTCAACTCTTATCTCTCTTTCCTCATGGACCTACACAGTCACACCTACATCACAATTGATTAAGAAAAGTGTTAGATGGATTAGTTCAAGTGTAGCAAAGGAAATAAAATAAATAAATAAAAAGTTTAAAACCGGGTTGCCTCCCGTATGCGCTTCTTTAACGTCATTAGCTTGACGTCCTTCACAAAAGAATCATGGTGACTTGAAAACATCAATGAGCGATAAATTTTCCGGCTTCTCAATTAGTTGACCCTCATAGTAAGGCTTGAGACGATGCCCATTCACTTTGAATGGAGGGTACTTGTCATTGAATACCTCAACTGAGCCATAAGGGAAGACTTTGGATACTTGAAATGGACCGCTCCATCTAGACCTCAATTTCCCGGGGAAGAGCTTGAGTCTACAACTGTAGAGTAGGACCTTTTGTCCTTCCACAAATTCCTTCTTGGAAATTTGAGCGTCGTGCCATGCCTTGGTTCTTGCTTTGTAGAGTCTTACACTATCATAGGCGTTCGTTCTCAACTCTTCCAACTCATGAAGCTCTAGAAGTCTTTGCTCACTTGCACTATGGAGATCAAAGTTGATTTTCTTGATTGCCCAATGCGTTCGGTGCTCCATTTCTACGGGTAAATGGCAATTCTTCTCATAAACAAGCTTATAGGGGGTAGTCCTTATAGGAGTTTTGAAGGCGGTCCTATATGCCCACAATGAATCAATAAGCTTACTAGACCAATCCTTCCTTGTTCTAGCAACGGTCTTCTCCAAGATGACTTTCAACTCCCTATTTGTGACCTCCGCTTGACCACTTGTTTGGGGGTGGTAAGCAAGGCCTCGCTTGTGCGATACACCATACTTTGAAAGAAGCTTGTTGAATGTATGGTGCTTGATGTGGGAACCTCCATCACTTATGATTGCCTTAGGAACACCGAATCTTGGGAAGATGACTTTCTTGAACAAATTGATGACCACCTTTGAGTCATTGGTGGGAGATGCCATGGCTTGCGCCCACTTGGAAACATATTCAACGGCAACTAGAATGTGCCGGTTTCCTCGGGATGAGATGAAAGGGCCCATGAAGTCAATTGCCCGAACATAAAAAATTTCTAGCTCAAGAATCGGATTTTGGGGCACCTCATCATGCCTTGATATGTTCCCCGTTCTTTGGCACCTATCACAAGTCTTAACAAATTGCCAAGCATCTTTGAATAGAGAGGGCCAAAATAGCATGCATTGCAAAACCTTGGAAGCGGTCTTTTGAGCACTCATATGACCATCACAAGGGGATGAGTGGCACATTGAGAGCACATCTTGGAACTCTTCATTAGGAACACATCCTCTCAAAAGTCCATCCACCCCTCTCTTCAACAACATGGGGTCATCCCATATATACTTCTTTGCTTCATGCTTGAGCCTTCGATGTTGTTGAGGAGTGAAATCCGGAGGTATGGCACTACAAGCCAAGTAGTTCACAATATCCGTATACCAAGGCTCTGATTTTGCCTCAAGAGCATATAAGACATCATCCATTAGGGCATCTTCAATTGGCAAACCGTCTTCATGTATTCTTGCACCTCCCAACCTAGAGAGGTGGTCCGCCACAATGTTCTCGGCTCCCTTCTTATCTCTCGTTTCATAATCAAAGTCTTGAAGGACCAAGACCCATCTCAACAACCTCGGTTTGGCCTCCTTCTTACTTATCAAATATTTGAGAGCCGAGTGATCGGTATACACTATTGTCTTAGAACCAATGAGGTAGGTTCTAAACTTCTCAAATGAGTGAATAACCGCCAAAAACTCTTTTTGGTAGTTGTATAATTCCGTTGAGCATCATTGAGAGTCTTGGACAAATAGTATATAACGTGAAGTTTCCCATCCTTTCATTGTCCTAGAACCGATCCAATGGCCTCGTCGCTTGCATCACACATTAGC